TTTTCGCTTGAAATTAAGTAGCAGATAGTCGTAAAAACGCTGTTAACACGTTGACGACAACGCGAGTTTTGGCACTTTTGGCCACGTGGGACCACGGCGTTTTTGCGAGCGCCGCCGCCTCAGGTTGTTCAAGCAAATTTTGAGTGATAAAAACATAAATAATGATCAATACAAGGCCAGATCAATATATTGTAATGAGCACAACCTACTCGGAGGTACAGTAGCGGAATTTCTATTGAAAGACATGGAATAACAATGAAAAAGTGATATTCTTTAGAACAAGCTGCAATAAACTTCAAAGGCAATTTTGAGTTGATTATTTTAATCAAAACACATATATTGTCATCTCTAAGGTACCGTATCTACTTCTACTACTATTTAAACCTTCACATTCATAGGAAGAAAAAGTAAACGAAAAATTTATTAGGCTGAAGATTTCGTATGGTTCAGAAATCCTCCTCCAAATTGAAGCATACGTGACCATTCTATGGACCACTATGTTTTTAGCTAGGTCAAGGTCTCCTCCATTCAATAATTACAAGAAACTTCTAGAAGAACCAGGCGTGCGCGAAAAAAATTAGTGTAATGGGTGCGGGGGATATATCCCCCGCACGGTCCGACACGGCCTGCAATGCGCGGGATATATATCCCCCGCGTTGTCGTCAATGTGTTAAATGGTTAATATAGGTAAAGGGTCCGATAGTTGAAAGGTAAGCCAGGGTTTGTGCAGTAGTGATGAACAATTGCATCGAGGCAGGAAGCACGCAGATTCTCTCTCATCACTACGCACTTTTATATATGCATACATTTCACCCATATCTGCAGAAACCGTGATGGAAACATTCAAGTGCCATCATTCCCTTTAAAAACAGGAGGAATTTTGAATTCAGCTATTAAGGACTCGTAGAAGAGTTACGGCTGCTGATCGTTGCTCATGAAACCATGTGTAGGAAACTCCGGTAAAGACCAGTAAAGAGTCCGTTTTCTTACGAGTTTGCATCCAGTTGCCTATTTCGGGACAGCAGATTTCGCTTTTTTTCTGCAGCTATTCACATCTCTTAGAAAGGCCTAGAGATAAAGGGAGTATGATTTCTCCAGTTATTTCTATTGTAGATTTTGAAAATTTTAGGAATTTTTTGACATGTTCGTAGATGAGTACTTTTCGTTTACTAAATTTGACCTAAAGACCACGACGGAGAGCTGAATGTAGATCACGCCTTAAAGCGAGCAATTTGCCATGGCTAAGCTTATCGTGCGCTGCAAAAAGAAGCAATGGTAAGCAGGTTTCCGGTGATCCTCAAAACGAGCTCAAACCCAGAAAGACTTTGATTTTTCTAACCATCCACTTCTCACTTAACTAATTGGTAACACTCCTCAAACTTGACTTAGACTCGTTCCTAAAAGACCATACCTAAGAAAACCTAGCAAACTATACCTGTAGTATGGTTTATCTGCTCTTTGAATGATAAAAAGCGCTCCTTCAATGTGTGTTTTCGTCCAAGCTTTCTCAGCCATGTCGAAATTGTATTTGGCGGCATGTGTAGTCTAAAGTATTAAATATTAGTAATGTCGCATTCACTCACTGAACTGAAAACAATCAAAACTCGCAACTCCTACTTTGTCAAGAATTGCGACAGCACATGGGTCGATACGTTGAATCGACAACAGATTTCTCGCCGTAAGATTTGGATCGAGTTTCGATTTTTGTTCCATATTCTTGAAGTAAAACCAATTGTACGAACAAGGCAACTCAATACTAACGAGGGAATTTTATAAAACCGCAACGATTTGAAGAGGCGTGCAAGTATACGAGCACAGTGTGCATGACGGCACGGGAGTGCGGAGAAAAAGAGAATAAATGACCTATACGGATACATTCAAGAGTGCATAATACCGTATGCTGTGAAGCTATTTTTGAGAACTGTTGCGGTAACAAGTAATTACCCATTGATGGCCTTTTCGTAATAAACATATACTCCAACACATTATACACTATTGGGTTTTTTTAAATAAACAGAAGCAAACGAGAAACTAGATAACAATATTTCAAATATGTTCGCCGGGAGAGGTAATGGGATCTAACCAGTGAATTTTTATGATGATTTTCCATGCATAAAAAAGACTACCACAAACAACTACTGCAATAAATGCATAACATTGCACACAGTGCGTTGAACGATGTTAACCACCGAAGCGAAAAATCTGACACCAGCCCTAAGCATAAAACGGTTAAGGCTGGTGTCAGAGTCCGCGATCCGTCGCAGGTTTCGCTGATTTTCGCGATTTCGCGATTTGCGCGATTCACGCGACGGGTCACGGAAATCACAAGTGCCCGATCAATACTGCAAGGTGTTCTCCAATCCTGCCGCCACTTCTGCTTGATAGTGATGGCTGAATGACGACTGCTCATGATTCCACTTGTTTCATATTCAGTGTTTCAAATGTTCAAATGGGGCACTTGCAATTTTTGCGATCCGTCGCAGGTTTCGCGCAAATCGCGAAAATCGCGCAAATCGCGCAAATCGCGAAAATCAGCGAAACCTGCGACGGACGCTGACACCAGCCTAAGACCGGAAATACAAATACCTATAATACCTATAATAATTTACACTCCAATCGCAAGCGTACTGTAAGGCTGGTGTCAGAGTCCGCGATCCGTCGCAGGTTTCGCTGATTTTCGCGATTTGCGCGATTCACGCGATTTGCGCGATTTGCGCGAAACCTGCGTTGAAACACTGAATATGAAACAAGTGGAATCATGAGCAGTCGTCATTCAGCCATCACTATCAAGCAGAAGTGGCGGCAGGATTGGAGAACACCTTGCAGTATTGATCTTGTGATTTCCGTGACCCGTCGCGTGAATCGCGCAAATCGCGAAAATCGCGTGAATCGCGCAAATCGCGAAAATCAGCGAAACCTGCAACGGATTTGCAGTGAGCAACCCATCTGTGTTCGTATCCCGGGGCGACTTTCTATAGGCCTCCGGTTCGATTACATGCTCAGCACTCCGCGATCGCGTTGCAGCTTCGCTAGATTTTCGACGTAGATATGCACGCTTACAGTTTTATCACGTGATTTTCGCCTATTTTGCGCGGATTCACGAGGCTTATGGGTCACGGGAAATCTAACGATCTCAATACTGCAAGGCGTTCTCCAACCCTGTCCCACTTCTGCTTGATAGTGATGGCTGACTGACAACTGCTCATTATTCCGGTTATTTATATTCACTGTTTCAACGCAGGTTTCGCGCAAATCGTGAAAATCGCGTGAGCGCAAATTAGCGAAAGTCAAGCGAAAACTGCCGACGGTCACGCCGCTATCTAACAGCAGGACGCTAAGGCCGACGTCATACTTTGCGAATCGAGCGAATCGCTAGCGAATCGCTCGAGTCGAGCGAATCGCTAGCGAATCGCTCGAATCGCTAGCGAATCGAGCGAATCGCTAGCGAATCGCTCGAGTCGAGCGAATCGCTAGCGAATCGAACGATGCACCAGCGATTCGAACTAGGTGCCAGCGAATCGAACTAGGTACCAGCGAATCTTGCATAAAGCTTGAAACTTAGGGTGTTAGGCTAGGTATTGAGTGTACACTTTCACCACCCTATGTCCTACACGGAACCGTGAGTGTGTGGTTGCCGCCGGACAAAGAGCCTTTGGTGAGGCCACACAACCTCCGAATTTCGCGTTTTACTCCCCTATTTCGTCCACTATAGGTACTCGTTGACTGGTTTATACAAGGAGTAATTAAATTATTCGATCATGTCAGTCAATATCTAACACCGTTGGGCTTCATTCAAATTCAAATGGACTACAGTGCCGCGGCAGTAAATCTTTGTACATCGGCGTCTTTGATTGATCTTAATTGATAGAGGATACAGGAAAGCTCACTGATAAGGACTTTTTCATATGATGAGGGGCATCTCGGAAATGTTTGCCTTCAAGTATCTGCGCCAAAAAATAGAAACTTGACGGCCAAGTTCAGGTTCCTATCATGTAGTTCAGAAACTCCACTGCGTATCATGAGCAAACCGTCCTTTCCTAGCGAAAAATGCCCAAATTAGCCTACCGTCTTTTTTTTTCGCTCGAGTGCCAACTCGTTCAACGCTTAAACTTACAATGTTCTCTCTGTGTTTGCATTAATGAGACCTTCCATGAACATTCTCAGTTTTCCTTCTGACATCCCCTCTGAATGGAAACCGTCCATTTCACACAGTTCAAACTTTTACAGCTATTGTGGGGACTGATCGCAACTATAATCATTTATGGGGTACGTCAAATTCTTTGAAAGCTTCACATGAGTCTTATGCTTATTACCATTGGATGTTGCTACGTACGTGACGCCGCTGCCACACTGTAGTGTCGCACCAGCGAGGGGAGAGGGATTGGGCGAGGTCACTTCACGGAGTTGAATGCTTTGACAGCATAATGCAAGCACGTTAGGAACTGGAGCGATGCTTCACCAACAAATGACATTCCATCAACTGCCTCCCACAAAAGCTTTGTTTGACTGTGTTATGACAAACATACACCATGCCACATCTCATATTTGACTTTTTTAAGAACCAAGTTCCGCTATCAAGACTACATCACGGGGTAAATCGCTAGGCTATGTACGAAGCACAACACACACTTACTCTACGTTTTGCTGCCAAACACTGCTTTCAACACATTTTACTAGGGGTACGACGAGTCCCGAAGCACACTGTTAGCTTTGACAACTCATTTTGAGCGCATTATTCCGACAAGCACTAAGTTTACAGTTTTATGCTTTGCGCCCCGCTAGATACTACTTTCGTTTTTCATTTATATACTCACAGCAAAAAAATACTCAGAGAATGGTACGACGCTGTAGCCCATTTGGGTCAAAAGCACCAACATTCTCTCTCCAGATGCAAATTTGTCTGCTGGCGAAGTAAAAGCGGTCGATAATGAAAATGCGGATGCCGAGTTTACTGCAAATGAGAAAAGAAACAAAGAAAATCGCCGATGAAGCCCTCAAACGAAGACTCCCCCTCTTCCACTTCAGGCCGATGTCTTTGCAAATGAGCGATTCGCTGGCGAAGGAGAGGTGTGGCCAGACGAGCTGTCCGAAATAGTTTGCTTTGCCGGCATTTATTGCTGGTTCCTTCCAGCAAGAAATGCATATCAAGAATCGCATATGCACCAATGCAAACCAAGACACCTGCTTGGGCTAGCGATTGGGTGATCAGACGAAAAGGCTGTACCATAGGCTGCACCCGGGTTTGGCCCACATATCCTAGTCCCTTACAGCGTCTTACCGACCTTTTTTTTTCTTGGGGTCCTTCTATGTTCTCGACAAGGCCTCACGCATCATGTTATTTCATCAATACTAATACTAATGGCGCTACCTATTACGCGCGTAGTGCAGTTCCGCCCACATCGAAAACGTCTTCAACCACTTCGGTTTTAGTGAAATGGGTTATGGAAAAAAACACCAAACTGTGCACTGGATGTCCCCTCTAAATAACAACCCCTGATCAAAATGCTGATTTAACAGCGGTTGATTACTGTTCCTGCTTTAACGAGAGAGGGGTTCTTCCGGACGAGTTGTCCGAACTTGCTTGCTCCATTACTTCACTAACCTGCGCGTATTCGAATTAGCCGCTACGTCGAATTAGGCGTGTCATGTAGGCGTACGTAGACTACCTCGTCCAGGTTACTTTTCAAATTTCTCAGCCGTTCTCCACTTTGGCTCACGCGCTTTGAGAACCGTGACAACGTGCCTTGATACTCCTTTCCGTGACAACGGCGTAACTGTTATACTCGCTGGCTACTCTATGCAATCCACAAACTAAATTGGTCGACACGACCTCATCTGGAGTTGATGCTTTGAGTCATTGTACGGGCACATTCCCTTTTTCATTCTTGCATTTACGATAATGAATGCAACTAGAGTGCGTGGCGCGCACTAAAAAGACTTATGAAGGCATTCAAGGCTTGATGCGCTGTCCTTTCACAGAAAATAATAATTCTAAAATGGATCCTGTCTGAAAATGCCAACATTTTAATGAAGGCTGGTCATATACTTGAAGACTGAGCTGTAGAATCACACTTCAATATTGTAAATGAATTATCAGCTTGCCGCAGCAAATTACATTTCTCATAAGTCCAAATAACCCCCCTCCAAAACTTGCCCGCCATTGAGCATAGCATTGCCGAAATTTTGCTGTGCCTAACACCCTAGTTTCAAGCTTTATGCAAGATTCGCTGGTACCTAGTTCGATTCGCTGGCACCTAGTTCGAATCGCTGGTGCATCGTTCGATTCGCTAGCGATTCGCTCGACTCGAGCGATTCGCTAGCGATTCGCTCGATTCGCTCGATTCGCTAGCGATTCGCTCGATTCGCTAGCGATTCGAGCGATTCGCTAGCGATTCGCTCGACTCGAGCGATTCGCTAGCGATTCGCTCGATTCGCAAAGTATGACGTCGGCCTTACAGTTA